GGGTTCCCTTTTGGGTAGGATCGCATTGCAATGGTCGAGCCATTTACTATCTTAGATACGTCCGATAGCTGATACGATGTCGGCAGCATCGACGCTAAAGTTGTCCTCCGATAACCTTGGTGCCTCCTTAGACCCGATGGGTCTGTTGAAACCGTCTTTGCTCATGAGTCCCCAGTTATTATGACCTCGATCACTTTTTCTTTAAGGGTTGCACGTCTGGACCCATTACCCATTCGATCTCCATTGTATGGTTGATATAGATCTCTGTTCGATCTTAGTTTATGATCGATGGCTCTTTTGGATCTGTCACTAGTTCTGACGGGATAAACGGATCCGGAAGGGGCCCCGAGATGATCATCTTCGACCCTAATTTTTGATTGGTACCTGTTATGGACATTGGTCTAAGTTATCGTCGGGTATTCTATCAAATTTTATTTCAACTGCTGCGAAGCCAATGAGCTTTGGGGGTTGATTTCTTGGGTGAATGCCTATCGTCGAGGCAGATCTATCTGTTCTATTTGAAACCTCGACACGAATTCCCTGAATATCTCATCATCTCTTTTGTAATGACTCGATCGGTCATTTTGAGTTCTAACGCATCATTCAGTGGTTTGAGACACTGGGCAGCTTCACTTTAGGTATTATGACTTGTACGCATGGTCAAAATTTAATTTCGAAAAGTTCGGAGTTGATTTGGAAAGAAAATCCTAATTTCAGAAGCTTTAAGTTGGAGGAATTGAAAAGTGTGATTTTTGAGTAGACGACCTTGGAATCGGGATTTGAAGGTTCCAACAGGTTCGTATGATGATTTTGGACTTAGGCGTATGCCCGGAGCGGGTTTTGGATGACCCGGGAGCATTTCAACGCCTATTATGGAAGTTGGCATTTTTGGAAGAATTTTCTAAATTTGGGTTGAAGTGCATTTCAATGTTATTGATGTCCGTTTGGGATTTCGAGTATGGGAATAGCTCCGTATGGTGATTCTAGTATTGGGAGCGCGTCCGGATGTGGATTTGGAGGTCCGTAGGTCATTTTGGGGTCATTTGGCAAAAGTTAGAAATTTGAAGGTTTTTGAGAAGTTTGACCCGAAGTGAATTTTTTGATATCAGGGTCGGATTCCGATTCCAGAAGTTAGAGTAGGTCCGTAATGTCAAATGTGACTTGTGTGTAAAATCTGAGGTCAATCGGACGTGATTTGATAGGTTTCGGCATCGATTGTAGAAGTTTGAAGTTTCAAAGTTTATTAAGTTTGAATTAGGGTGCGATTCATTATTTCGATATTGTTTGATGTGATTTGAGGCTTCGAGCAGGTTCGTGTTATGTTATTGGACTGGTTGGTGTGATTGGACGGAGTCCCGGGGGCCTCGGGTGGTTTCGGATGCTTAACGGATCGATTTTTGGACTAAGGAAAATGTTAAGGCAGCTGGTATCTGGTGTAACCGCACCTGCGAGGTTTTGGCCGCAGGTGCGGAGCCGTAGAAGTGGCCAAGAGGGTTGCAGAAGCGGTTCTGGCTGGGGAAGGCTGGGACCGCAGATGCGGTCAAGTTCCACAGAAGCGGGACCGCACCTGCGCACGAAGAGCCGCAGAAGCGGAGGCGCAGAAGCGCTGCCAGGCCGCAGATGCGGGAAATATTGGGCTGAGCTTGAACCGCAGATGCGATGGAATTTCCGCAGGTGCGGAGCCGCAGAAGTGGCTATTTCACCGTAGGTGCGAGGATCGTTGGGCAGTGAGGTTTTATAAAACGAGGTTTTGGCTCATTTTCACTTTATTTCGTCCATGGGAGCCGATTTTGGAGCACTTTTGGAGTGCCATCTTCATCAACTATAATGGGGTAAGTGATTTATTCACATTCTAAGTTAAATACATGGTTTTTACATAGATTCAAGCATGAAAATTTGTAGAAATTTGGGATTTTGAAGGAAAACCTAGAAATTAGTATTCTTGGATTTTGATCACGAATTTGGGCATGAAATTGAGAATACATTATATATTGGATTTCGTAGTGCTATGGGTAGTGTTTGTCTTCGAAAATTTTCGAAATCCGGACACGTGGGCCCGATGGTTTCTTTATCAATTTTTTGAGCGGATTTGGAAGTTGCTATAAATTGATTAATTATGAATATTAGAGTATATTTTGATTGGGCTGCATATTATTTGACTAGTTCTGGATCGGCGGGCATCGGTTTGAGGTATCAGAGAGGCTTTGGAACCGGTTAGGGAATTTCAGAGCGAGGTAAGTCTCATGTCTAACTATGTGAGGGGAAAATTACCCCTAGGTGTTGTATATGGATGTGTGCTACTTGTTGTGGGGGCTACGTACGCGCGAGGTGACGAGACCCCGTACGTAGCAACATTCATGTTATTGTCCGGGTAGGCTTAGGTTCACATCATGTNGAGAGAGAGAGAGAGAGAGAGTTCATTGAAAGATCTTTGTTAAAGAAATTATAACTCACACGTTTATTCGTCAGTGGGGTCAAGGACTCGTCAAAGCTTCTTACTCTTATGGGATCGGGTCGTTCGCCTCAGCAGGAAATTGTATTTCACTCTTATGGGATCGGGTTGTTCGCCTCGGCAGGATTTATGTACCACACTCTCATGCGAGCGGATCGCTCGCCTCGGCAGTTTAATAGATGCATCTATGGTTCGCGTCGTTCGACCCTCGGCAGTACACAATTTAAATTTTTATGTTGGATCGGGCCGTACGCCTCGGCATTTCCTATATCATATCCTCATGGAATCGTGCGTAATCTTCGGCAAGATGCCAGTGTATCTGTGAGTTTTCCCGATTTGAGTTATGGTAATCTATCTGATGAGATCCACTATATCTATATATATGCTCCGGTTAAGGAGGGAATCTCTAATGGAGAGTTTGAGTTCCTCGTAAAGAGGGGGATTTGTACCATGTGATTTATACTTGTTATCTCACTTATTTACTCTGCCTCATATTTACTTACATCTTTACTGTACTTGATATTGTTGGACCACTAGTGAGTGTCGATGTCGACCCCTCGTCACTACTTCTATGGGGTTAGGCTAGATACTTACTGGGTACACGTTGATTACGTACACATACTACACTTGCCGCATATTTTTGTGCGCAGGTATATATGTGAATAGTGGCCTGGTGAGAGCAGAGGCGTGTGTTCACGTAGGGACTTACGTGAGCTGCACTCCATATTACGACCCGCAACCAACAGAGTCTCTTTCAGAGTTATTTGTATTTTTTCTGTCTAAGTTTATTCCGGACAGATGTTGTACTTTATTTTTAATTCTTAGTTGATACCCATGCACTTGTGACACCGGGTTTTGGGGTGATTATGGGTTGTTCTATATTTAAATTGTTAAGAATACTATTATTTACACCGTGAATTTCATCTTATACTATTTAATCGAAGGAAAATATGATTTCAAAAATATTAAAATGAGAACCAAATCAAGTATTTATTTTGGAAATCGAAGGAAAATATGATTTCAAAAATATTAAAATGAGAACCAAATCAAGTATTTATTTTGGCTTGCCTAACGGCGGTGTTCGGCGCCATCACGACCTTTAATAGATTTTGGGTCGTGACAATATGGTATCAGAGCACTAGGTTCACTTAGGTCTCATGAGTCACGAGCGAGTCTAGTAGAGTCTTGCGGATCGGTACGTAGACGTATGTACTTATCTTCTAGAGGCTACAGGACTGTTAGGAGCACTTCCCTTCTTGATTCCTCATCGTGTGATTTGATTCCTTTGAGGCTTATGCCTTCATTTCCTTCCTATTCAATCTTGTGCGACGTGAAGCGCTTGTTATAAATTTGGAATCGAGGAATTTTAATGGTACTGCATAAGTGGTTTGGGATGTTTCTCCCTGCGTATTTGATTGGGCTATTGTCGTCGCCTTGCGGAAGGTCATTCTGTCATTTCATCTCAGTATCAGTATTATTTATGGTTTGGGATTTGGCACTGATTGATATGATGATTCGTGCGTTGCTATCGCATAGTGTTGGTGTAATGGTATGGTGCTTATCTATAGATTGTGGCAGTAAATGACTTGATAGAAGGACTTCTCATTTCACGGCTTAAGGTTCAGCATTTAGATCCGGCGGAGGAAAGGCAATCGGACTAAGAATGTTTAGGTTGGATTGACGGAGTAACAAGACTTGGTATTTTCGAGTATGGTGGAATTTTCATCTGTGATGTGGATTGCCTGATAGAATTTTCATATTTTCGAGTATGGTGGAATGTTTAGGTTGGATCCGGCGGTGTCCGGTGCCATCACGACCTTTAATGGATTTTGGGTCGTGACATCTTTGGTTTACATTGAAAAGGTCTAACTTCCTGGTCTCGGCCTTGATGGCCCCGGCGTGCGCTTTCACAAAGGCATTTGCAAGCATAGCAAACGAGTCAATATAGTTAGGGGTTAAGTTGTGATACCATATCATAGCTCCTTTTGGCAAGGTCTCTCGGAACTTTTTCAGCAGAACAGATTCAATTTCGTCATCTTCCAAGTCGTTCCCCTTGATGGCGTATGTGTAGGAGGTCACATGTTCATTTGGATCAGTTGTTCTATTATACTTCAAAATTTCGGGCATACTGAACATCTTTGGGATCGGCTTCAGAGTTGCGCTCCGAGGGAAAGGCTTTTGGACAAATTTCTTGGAATCCAGACCCTTCAGTATCGGTAGTGCTCCTGGGATTTAATCGACCCTGGAGTTATAGGTCTCCACTTTTTTGTCGTTGGCTTCGATTTTATTTTCTCCCGATTCCACCCGTTTTGTCAGTTCCTCAAGCATCTTTATTATCTCGGGGTTAGTCTCGGGTTCTGCTTCACCTGGCCTTTCTATGGCCGGTTCATTTCTGTGAGCATTTTCCCGAGATGGTTCGGGCTCAACTCTGTTGTTGACACGGTTTTGGTTCTGCAACTGGGCTATCACTGCTTGTTGAGCCTGTAACATTTCGAAGATCACCCGCAAGTTGATCCCATCACCTTCGTCGTCGTGTGTACTCCGGGCTATGGACCAGGCTCCCCCCGCAAATGCTGTTTTCCGGGTCAGTAGGCAAGTTTGCTTCGATAATCATGTATGAGTTAGCATCGATCGGATCTGCGACTGGGATCACGTGTGAGTTAGCATCGATCACGTGTGAGTTAGCATCGATCGTTGCTGGGCATCACGTTGTTGTTATCGCCATGGTGGCCGGACTCAGCATCAACGTTCAAATGGGCAGATTAGGAGTTTGACATTTTTAATTTGACCTGGAATTAAAAGCTCAATAGAGTGTGTTACGGAAATTCGTATCAAATTGCCACTATTATCCTTAGCCCCCACGGTGGGCGCCAAACTGTTTACCCTACAAAACAGATAACAATTGAATTTATATGTGCTTTTAAGGATATGCGAATCAATTCAATACAAATGATAAATAACATTAGATTAAATAGATAAAGGATGTAATAAATTGTCAAACTAATCAAGGGGAGTGATCCCGGGCTCAGTAACGGCTTAATATAATGCCTGCCTTCGATCCCGGACTCACAACAATGAAAAGCTGATGAACAAAAGTAAGAACTTTGAATAGCAGAGAAAATAAGAGTATATTGCCTTGATATGCGAGTTGCAATGTGTCTATGTATAATAATATTTCCTCTTTATATAGTAGGGGAGTTTTACCCTAAATACAATTCTAAGAAAGGTAAAAATCTTCTGTTACGCCGATCACTAATATGAGCCGAGATTCGCGCTGTGATATCCGGTTGGGTACGGATATCACGGCCCTTTGTTAGTAGTGTGTGGCTGCTCTGTGATGCTCTCCGAAGTCTTAACCCTTAAATCGGACCTTGAGGATATGGCCTCGATATCCCCGAGGGCAGGTGTTTGCCCAATCCCTAATACGAGGGGTTCTTCGTTCTGACTCTGATACGTTACGGTTATCTTCCCACTCCGCTCGGCTCACTGGGAAGTCGAGTCATGCGACGGGCTCGATTTTACCCGTATACAACGTGTTATTTTATCAATGCCGACATTGATTCAAAACTGTTGTTTCTACCGTTAGCTAAAAATACACGTTGATTTTTTTCTTTTAAGTTTTGCCCCTCAAGTTTTTGCATGTTTGGGTCCAATTCCAGAAATTTATCATGTGCCCTGTTTCTCTCACTTATCAGAATCGAAGAGGGTCGAAGGGTGAGGAATGAGAAATTAAAGAGACGAATTTATTGAATAATGAATAATAAAGGGAAGCAAGACTTGGAAGAATGAGAACCAAAAGATATGAACTGTTTTTTTTTTTAAATTGACCTCGTGTACAATTGTTTAAAAATACTATCATATCACACAAAAGACAATTACATATAATCGTTCATAAAAAATGGGATTAGCAACCACGAAAATGGAAAAAATTATCTGACAGGTGAAACCACAAATTTTGCTAAGGGGTTCAAACTATTAAAAAATAGCACGAAGAAATGAATGAGATTCAAATTTATTATATATACCAAAACAATAATTTTGACATTAAATATAAAATATAACTTTTAGGGTAAAATGGATTCGAAAATTTCCTAGCTAGGTCTGATCGTGATAGCAGGGTAAGTACATTGATAACGTCAAAAAGTTTTACAATGTGCGTGCATTTATATAAGTTGAATCCTAACAAAATTTAAGTTTGGTTTCTGCAACTATTGTAATATTATTGGTTGAATTATGCCAAATGGAAATGATAGCTGGCTTGAATATTAATAATTGTACGTCTTGATATGAGTGATGTGCAAAGCAAGAAAGTTAAAAGGAAAAAAATGAAATAAGGGTTTGCCCCTCCAACCCATCCCCTATTACAACCCCAAAAGAACACTTCCTATTGCCCTTTCAACCTACAGTAATATGGCAAGATATGGAAAGAAGAGACATTTCCCTAAAAGGGTAGAAATATTTCTCTGATTGAATTGTGAGCCGCGTGTTTTTGTTCTATGCATAAACACTCAATCCTTTAGTACATCCCATTAATTTATTTTTTTCTTTTCTTGTACTAGGAGTAACATTTTTATTCTTGATATTTCCAATTAAGTCCTTCTTTTCCCTATAAAAATATCCACCTCTCCAATGTTTCTGGACTGCAAAATAAACCTAGCTTAGCCACCAACCCATGAACAAGACCTTCTTAATCTTCTCAAACTCTTCTTAGTTTTCTTCATTTTCTTTTATTTCTAGTATTTGCTACCTTGGTGCTTACTCCGGTATGTGACCAGCCTCGTCTTTGTTTTCTAAACTTTATTTACTTCGTCTGATACAAACTTTGATCATGAAATTAATTCTTTATTAAGAAAGTTTTAAATTCTAGCGTTGACAACTTAGATGATGAAACTCTTTATTACCTTTGTGTGGTCCTAAAGTCCGAAGTTTCGTTTATCTTATGATCACTTTCTGCATTACCATGCAAGTACCTAATTATCTATTTTTTTTCCTCTTCATTTTGTAATCTGTTCATATATACTAGTAATTGTTTGGATTCTTTCTTTTATTACACAGGTTAAATGTACTATTAAGCTCAAGACATGCTCTGGTGAAGTCTAGGAACCTCTCACAGCAACCAAACCAAGTAAGTCAGTAAGAAAAATGATTACACCAAACTTCAGCAGATGCACCTCCTTCTGCTCAATTCCTTTTATTTTCTGACTTCTTTTAAGAACGAAGACTTACTCTACAACAGGAAAAGTAATTTTTTTTTTTGAAGAATACATGTGTTTATGACAGTCTAGTACATTTTGCAAGACAGTATATCCTAATCCCCTAGCATTTGTTATTTTAGTGTTACGTTGATATGGTCTAGTTGCTCATGAGGTCAAGTTTTAGCTTCTTGGCCATATTTCAGTGCAAGACTGGAGGAGAGCTTTTACCTTATTAAGATCGATACAATCATAAGATTCACTTTAATTGTCATAGCTTTAATTAACAATAGGAGTAGTTCGTTCAGTGAAAATCTTGTATGTTATGTCCAAAGCAGGTACATCTATAATTAGCTTGCATAATAACTTTTTTCGATTCAAATAACAATTATGTTTTGGAATATTATTGATCAAACTAAACAATGACTGATCAGTGATACACAGCATCAATTAAATAAGTAAGTTTTTACCGAACTGATAATTATGCTGCAATTTAAAGCTTAAACATTTTTCATAATCCAAATTTAAAGATTAACCCTTACCTAACTCCCTTTCTCTCCAGAACATCCCAGGGAAAAAAAGCGAAGAAAACTTTTAGAGAGGGCAGAGGCTAGCTATAGGTTGTTCAACATCAATAAAGCATGTTTGTACACAGAGGCGGACCCATATGTATGGGTGAGGGGTCACGGACCCCGTAAATTTCGGCTGAAATCTTATATATATATATATATATATACCTTAAAAATGGTTAATTTAAATATATCCCGTCACGTAAAAATTCTGAGTTCGCCTCTGTTTGTATACATAGGTGTCGTGGAAAACCATGTAAATCAATACTCATATGTGCTTGAATATTAACCGATTTTTTAGAAACATGCCTACTTTAATTTTGATATGTAATTAAATGGGTCCCTGTTGTTCGCTGCTCATTGCACAAGGTTAATTTCCTGCTCCCTCATCGTCCTCCTTCCTACGTAGAGGACAGGTATCTTTTTTGTCTCCACTGTCATAGAAACCGGCCATGACCTAAAAAGATATTGAATCAGAAGTAAGTTCACAGAAGCAGGAAAATAAAGAGAAAAGGGGGGAAAACCTCCTCTTCTTCTTCTTCTCTACTCCCTTTTTTTTTTCTTTTTGGTCCCTAATATTTGCCGATTAACAAAAGTGAATGCACTTTTGTATAACTGTATCGCTATATAATGACTATTCATTATCAAAGTCAATTCTTTATAGAACCAATTTTTAGTTCTTTAAAATAGCATTTCGCTATAATAGTCAAAAAAAAAATCCAGAAAAATTGAGATTGTACTTTGACTGTATTTAACAAATATGGTGTGCTCTTAACGAACATCTATCATCCTTTTCTTTTTCAGAAATTAGGTATGGGAGAATCGCCTGATCCTCCTTTTGAGGAGACATACAAGAAACTTTTTGACGACATAAGAATTGCAAAGGCCTCAAACATTAATTACCACAACCTCTTTGTTGTAGAGGAATGCGAGTTGCCATTGATAGATCTTGAACTATTATATGGAGGAGATTTTGAGATGGAAGAATGCAAGAGAAAGATAGCTAAAGCTTCACAAGAATGGGGTTTTTTCCAAGTGGTCAACCATGGGATTTCACATGATATATTGACAAAAATGAGAATGGAACAAATCAAGCTTTTCAAGAAGCCATTCCATGAGAAAATGAATGAAAAGAATCACAAATTCTCCAAAGGAAGTTACCGTTGGGGAACTCCTTCAGCTACTTGCCTTCAACAACTTTCTTGGTCCGAAGCTTTCCACGTTCCTCTCACTGATATCTCTAATTCAAGTGATCTAAACAGCCTCAGGTACTAAAAGTACAACTCTTTTAATTGTTAGCTTCTCTCTCTCTTTCTGTGTTTCCTCTTTGCATTATATGTGTACTCTTTGAGTAGTTGTGCAATAAACATATAGAAACAGCATCAGCACCACATGGCATACCAAAATAAGACTAGTATTTCCCATATTATATTGTTTTATTGGAGTATTATCGTTTGGAGTTTAGGATGGTGTGAAAACTATTTACACGTTTAGGTCGAGTATAAGGGAAATATAGTAGATCGAGTATGAGGTAATTATACTTTATACGTAAAAAATATTTTTACATTGTTAATGTATATACTAACTTAAATCCTATTGGTTTAGAATAATAACCATATATTACTAGATAAATCCATTAATTAATAGGGAAATGTAAGTACATGAAGTGAGGATATACGTGATAACATTACAGACAGTATCTTGTTATATAATAGGACTAGTTGGCTTCCAATAATGTGTAACAGTAGTTTCCTACTTTTAGAAATTCTGGGAGTTGCCGACTCAGAAATGTGAATCATCTTAGGAAGTTTATTAGTAATTGAAAAACTTTTGTGGTGAATGGTTATGGCATTTTGGGAAATATGTCTAAGTTATCAACTTCTTGTCCTCATAATGTTGGACCAGGTGATGACGTTAACCATTAATTGACGATAATATTCAATTAGTGTATGATTATTATAACTTCCTTATCTATTTTAAATTCAGATAGCACGACACGATAAATTAATTTTTTAGCTTTTTACATACTTGTTTTTAGTTTTATTATCTTGTCTTTTTTTTTTTTTACATATGGAAGATTTATTTTTACACGTAAGAGATATGTCTTTTACACATAAGAGATCTAAAAAAATCATTTTCTTAAATTTAAAATTATAAAGATACATGAGGTACAAATAGCAAAACAAAAAACCATGTCAGTTTTAAGGAGAGAAAGACCAATGGCCCATTCAAATTTAAGGCTGTTCGAAGTCCATTCGACCAGAAAATAATCATCATTCGAACATAAAAAATGAGCCTTGATATCAATATACAGATGACCATAACAACAATTTTCAGTGGTCAAACACGAATTTGCAGCTTAAGAATTACCTTAGACATTGTTCATGGAATAATTCAAATTTTCATTTCTAGGAGTTTTTTGGACTAGATGTATTTTCATTTCCTAATAGTTGTCTTGTGTGGTGACTAATTAAGTTGCTTTGTGGTAGTTACTTAGATCGAAGTTGCTTCTCCTTTTGGATTTTTCGTTTTGTCCAGAAATAAGCATTAACTATGGTCTTCGAAGAAACTTAAATTAGAGAAAATACATCATATTTGTGTAAACTATAATCTTCGAAGTATCGATTTGAATACCACTTTAATTAGCATTAGCAACTTAAATTTGAGAACATATATACATTATTTTAATTTAGGTCTTTATTAATTAGAAGAACCAAGTACTCACGAGCAGTGTTTTAAAAGGCTTTTATAGGACTCGCCTCGGGGCTCGCCCCGGGGCGTGGCACTATCAAAACGCCTTGAGACTCATGTGTGAGACTTAGTTCTGTGAGGCTTACGCTCCCAAGCGCCGACGGTGCGCCCTAAACACGTCTAACGCTCAACGCTCGGGATTCGCCCAATATTTCCTATGCAAATCATGTGTTGAATTTACAAATTTGCAGTATTGACTCTTAAAATTCTTTAATAAATAAATGATTAAAGTTCTTTTTATCTATAGAAATATAAAAATTGTGAATAACTCAAATAACGAACTATATTATTACATATTTACTAATTGAGAATATCATGAGTGTGAATATCATTTGAATATTTCTTCTAAAAATACATAACCAAAATTTATATCTTTACTTAATAGATCTTCATGTCTTAGTTCTATGTCTCTCGCAATTACCATACATTTCTTATTTTACTATTTAAAAATAATTTTATATTTACTCATGAAGGAGTAATATTTTAAATTACATTGTTGATAAAATTTATTGTGTATTTACTTTTAAAGAGGTAAAATATGCAGTTTGATAATATATTTTAAGAAATTATATTTTTTAACTATTTGAAAGTAAAGAGGTTGGAGTTAATTTATATTTCATTGTAACTTTTACAGTATTGTATTATTTATACTTGTATAACATACTAAAAATCTTATTTTATATGAGTTTCTTTAGTTCTTTTTAGTTTTCTTGAACTTTTAATGTATCTTTTATATTTTTATTGTGTTATAATACTATATTATTAATTCATAAACTTAAAAAATTAAAGATCCGTGGGGCTTACGCCCCATGTCTCGAGGCTTTCGCCTCGCTCCGTATTAATAAAACGCTCCGTCTCACGCCATCGCCTTTTAAAACACTGCTCACGAGTGCCATTATATTTGATACACATACTGTGTTCTTTCTTGATTTATAGATGTGGGTTTTCTAACCCTGTTTCTATATATGAAATGATTGAAATACTTCTATAAAACATGACTCTTCAATATTCTCTATGCCTGCTTACCCAATGCTTGATAATTAAAGAGATTTATGTATTCACCTCATTCCAGGTAGAAAAAGGGCTAATTCATCAAATCAAAAGAGTAAAAAGACAAGTCCCCTGTGAATGTTGTCTGACTCAAAAGATCCTAAATATGGTGAGACAAACCCCGCAAAGTGCATATATGTTTCTGGTAGCAAAACCTGAGACAGCTTCTTAATTACATTTGGATGTGGGTATGAAGATGGGTTTTTAGCAGAGATTAGCCTATATAGACCCATAATTTTTTACACTATCACCCAAAAGAATTCTACATATAACCATTATGAGTTGAAGTTATATTGTATTAACGGTATAAAAATATTTATATTATCATGTACATGTAATCTCTATATATGTCGGGTATTAATCAGTAACTTGATAAAAATGGATAATTTACACCGCTGAGTGTCTGCTTGATATTGATAAATCAATGCTTGGATTGTAGTCCTTACCTTTTTTACCCTTTGATGAACTCAGCTCCACAATGGAACAGTTTGCGACAACATTGTCTGAATTAGCACATAAATTAGCAAGAATATTGTCGGAGAAAATGGGATATAAGTCGAAATATTTCAGAGAAACATGTTTGCCAAGTACTTGTTACCTTCGGATGAATAGATATCCAGCATGCCCTCTTTCCCCACAAGTCTTTGGATTAATGCCACACACTGATAGTGACTTCCTCACAATATTGCACCAAGATGATATTGGAGGGTTGCAGTTAATAAGAGATGGCAAATGGATCTCTGTTAAGCCCAATCCTCAAGCACTTATCATCAACATTGGAGATTTGTTTCAGGTAATTACAAATCAATTTTACTTGATTTCCATGCATTTTAACTTGTTATAACATGCCATTTATATATATATTTATATACAACAACCCAGTATAATCTCACTAGTGGGGTCTGGGGAGGGTAGTGTGTACGTAGACNTAAAAAAAAACCAAATTAGGCTTATTAGTCATGCATGTTGGGAATATGCTTTAGTCGTGTTACTTTAGGTCCTCTTTCTTTCTAGAAGCCTATTAGCTTCTATGAGAGATTTTTATGCAGTAGAAATATAGAGACCTTTTAGTACTCTTTATTTTTATGGCCTGAGATGGATTTTAATGGAGAATCTGGTCAATTGAGGATTTATGCAGGTGACATCCATTTGTTTGGGACTAAGGCATTAATGTAGTTATTGTATTACCGAATTAGGCTTATTATATGGAACTAATTTTTGATGTAGGCCATTTGAACACGTTGATGTAAAAAGAATTACTGTCAGATTTGGAGGTTAAACTCATTAAGAGTTCCTTTCAAATACTTAGACATCAGTAACCCATTTTGACTTTCTTGAGCAATGAAGATTGAAGAATTCCACTTGTCTCCTGCATAAAATCAATGGGAATCTTCTGTTAAAATATTCACTCAAGTTTCCTTATGCAGGCCTGGAGCAATGGTGTGTATAAAAGTGTAGAGCACAGGGTTGTTACTAATAAAGCAAAAGAGAGATTCTCAACTGCATTTTTCTTGTGTCCATCCTATGACACTGAAATACGGAGTTGTTTTGAGCCTCCTGTTTATAGAAGATTTACCTTTAGAGAATTCAGACAACAAGTCCAAGAGGATGTCAAGAACTTTGGTTATAAAGTAGGTTTGCCTAGGTTTCTTGTATCAAGTCATTAAACTCAAAAAAGTTTGTGTAAACATTCATATATGGTCACATTTGACCTTTTAAATAGTTTATAGGGGAAAAAGAAGTATAAGTCAATTTTTTTCTTTTTGAGTCTTAATTTAGAAGAGGTTCGTAATGTATACTCCCCATGTAAGTATTACCTTGTACCCTTTAAGCAAGTAATGAGTGTGAGCTAATAATACTTTATAAATTTTGATATACTATATATACATATTAGTGGAAATGATATTAGTAGTCTTGCTTTATGATGGTGATCTGCAGCTTCTTTTTTCTTTTTACTTTTCTTTTTGTTTTTTTTAACAACTCCAAAATTACTTGGAAGTAAGAAAATTATTTAAGGAGCAACAAATAACAAGAACAAAAGGTCGGGGATTTGCAGTCGTACCTTATATTTGTGCCACCTTTTAACTTGTACCCTATTTTTAAAAATTATTAATTTGGTAGCCAGCTGACAAAAAATCCGTAATAATATGACAATTATATCCCTGACAAAAGATATAAAACCTGAGTCACGCATTAATCTCGTGATCTGCAACCTTATTCGTGAAAAAAATTCACATTGAAGCTAGAACTTCATGCTAATGTGTAATGACCCAACCGGTCATTTTGACTTTTAGAACCCCGTTCCCCTAAATAAAACTCTCTATATGTGCATTTATAAAATTATGACTTGCGGGGATGGTTGGTTCGGAATTTGGAAGTGTTCGGGTTGAAATCGGAACACTTGGTTCCTTAAATTAGCCTTAAAATGTTATGTTTGACTTCGGCCAACATTTTACGAAAACGACCCCGGAATAGAATTTTGATGATTCCAACAACTCTGTATGGTGATTTTGAACTTAGGAGCGTGTTCGAATTTTTTTTGGAAGCCCGTAATTAAATTAGGCTTGAAATGGCTAAAATAGGAATTTAAGTTTAGAAGTTTGACCGCGGAGTTGACTTTTTGATATCGGGGTCGGAATCCAATTCCGAAAATTTTTATAGCTTTGTTATGTCATTTATGACTTGCATGCAAAATTTGAGGTCAATCGGACTTGATTTGATAGGTTTCGGCGTCGTTTGTAGAAATTAAAAGTTTCAAAGTACATTAGGCTTGAATCTATGTGTGATTCGTATTTTTAATATTGTTGGATGTGATTTGAAGACTCGACTAAGTCCGTATGATATTTTAGGACTTGTTGGTATATTTGGTTGAGGTCCCGAGGGGCTCGAGTGAGTTTCGGATGCCTAACGGATTATTTTTGGACTTGGCTTGATAGCTGAAGTTCTAGTTTCTGGAGGTTCTGGTTTCCTTCTACGCGATCGCGTGAGAAGGTATGCGATCGCGAAGGGTTAATTGAGGGCTGCTGAGTTTTGTTCTTCGTGATCGCGTGAAGCGAGATGCGATCGTGTATCTTTGATATTTTGTGAATCGCGAACGCGTGAAGAAGGTCGTGTTCGTGTAGAGTAACGGAGCAGAAGTGGAGGTCACACGTTTGCTCTATGCGATCGCGTGTAGAGGGTTGTGATCACATAGAGCTGGGAACTCTGTGCTTTGCAATCACGTGGGGATATCTGCGATTGCGTAGAGTTAATTTTGGGCAACCTTATTTTGTTCTTCGCGATCGCGTGCCTTTGGTCGCGATCGCATAGAAGAAAAGCCTGGGCAAAATGTTTAAGTTCTGAGAATGGAACTTCGTCCCATTTTCCATTTTTAACGATTTGGAGCTCGGATTGAGGTGATTTTTGGGAGATGTTTAGAGAAAACATCGGGGTAAGTTTTCTTAACTCAATCTTGGTTAGATTACCCGAATCTATCATTTTTTTTATTAGTTAATTGGTGATTTAAGTTGAAAATTTTTGGAAACCATCTTGGATAGATTTGAGGATTTGAGGGTTGAATTATTATTGGAATTTAGTCATTTTGGTATGGTTAGACTCGTGGTTGAACGAGCATTCATATTTTGTAACTTTCGTCGGATTCCGAGATGTGGGCCCCACCGACAATTTTTGAGTTAATTTCGGATTTTATTTTTAAAAATATAGTATTTTCTTATGGAATTGATTCTACATTTTTTGTTGACTGTATCGAATTAATTATGACTAGATACGAGTCGATCGGAGTCGGAAAATCAAGAAAAAAACATATTACTTGGTTAAATTGGAGCAAGTCGAGGTAAGTGGCTTGTCTAACCTTGTGTAGGGGAAATTTCCCCTAGGATTGGTATTGAAATGATAAATTAAAATGTATTGAAAGTCGTGTACATGAGGTGACGAGTGTGTACGCGGGCTAAATATAAAAGATTATGTCTTTAAATTGTGTAGATCGATGTTGAATATTAATTAAATAATTTTACCTTATTATATTCTTCATCATTGATTTAAATGTTTATACTTTAAATTTGCTTGACCTTTTCATGCTAATTGTTTTACCTGTTTAGTTGAAACTTGGTTTCTTTTATTCTGTGCATTATTTGAAGGGTGATTTTCTTTAAATTAAATATTATTAATATGAATTATTTGACATTTTAAATTTGGTATTAAAGCAACGTATTAAAATTTTGAAATATTATTTTGTTGAGTTATTTATTCCCGAATATTTTGTGAGATTTTCGTGCTCATTGTGATGGAGCCGTGAGCTCTTTATTGTGGAAAAATATTATTGTTGAATTATTTTGGCATGAGCCGTGAGCTCTTTATTATGAAAAATATTGTTGTTGATTTATTTTGGCAAATTGAAATATTTGGGCACTTGAGGTGCAAATTGTGATATATTGTGATATTGATACGCATGCGGTGGTATAAGGTCTGGGTATTGAAACAAGTGCGGTGAGATAAGGGTGGCTTGATATACGTGGCTAATAGGGAAAACTACTAGAAGTCACGCGGTGTGATAAGGGTGGCTAAAAATGCGGGATGTTATTTCGGAAAAAATATTTTCTTTAAATAAATTATAAAGGCTCCCGCAGTGATATAAGAAAATGAGATATTGTGAATTTATTTATGATTTGGGACTACGAGGCCGTACCTCGGGAGTGCCCTTGTTGATATTGATTTATGGCAGCAGTTGCTTTTGATTATTGTTGTGATTTTTCTTAAAGTTGAAAAGAATTCTATTTTGTTTCCGCGAGGTATTAATTGCTATTATTTGGTGTAATTAAATGGTGACATACTACTTGACTCATTTCCATTGTCATTTTATCTTATTATATTATTAAACATTTTACCATGCCATTATTTATTTTTCCAGTAGANGCTTGTGACTTATTTCTACCGGGTTTTGGGAGTTGTAATTATTTGATTTGTAATTTATTTATTTAAGATATCTATTATTATTCCGCATTGATAGGTTTACCTAGTCTTACAGACTAGGTGTCATCACGACCTCCTACAGAGGGAATTTGGGGTCGTGACAAGTTGGTATCAGAGCTCTAGGTTCATAGGTGTTATGAGTCACAAGCAGGTATAGTAGAGTCTTGCAGATCGGTACGGAGACGTCTGTACTTATCTTCAGGAGGCTATGAAACTGTTAGGAAAATATTCACTTCTTTGATTCTTTATCGTGCGCAGTTGTTGAATTCAAAGTTCTAAACTATTATCTTTCTATTCTCTCACAGATGGTGAGGACATGCACAACTGGATCCGATGATCAGACACTCGCGCCCCCTGTTGGAGCCGCAAGAGGCCGGGATCGGGGCAGAGGCCGAGCCAGAGGCTGAGGAAAACCACGTGGTGCAGCCAGAACACCTGCACGAGCTGCTGCTGTAGAGCCACCAGTAGCTCCAGTTGGAGAACAGGCACCTGAAACGCTTGTTACTACTCTTGCACTTCAGGAGACTCTTGCCCAGTTTTTGAGCATGTTTGGCACTCTAGCTCAGGCAGGGTTAATTCCACTTACTCCTACCACATCTCAGGCCGGGGGAGGAGCACAGACTCCCGTCGCCCGTACTCCAGAGCCACAGGCTCAAGTTGACCATGCCCCGGAGGTTATACCAGTGCAGTTAGTTGTCCCAGTTCGGCCTGAGATTAGGACAGCAGTTTCAGAGGGGGTAGCTCAGGCTCGAGAGGTACAAGAAGTACCACCCTCCCACTTTCAGCAGTTTAGCTTCAGAGGATGCTCAGGGTTTTCAGGAGGAATATCACTGTATCCTTCGTACTATGGGTATTGTGGATTCCAGTGAGGTTTCTTTCACGGCATTCCAATTTAGAGGAGCAACCTACCAGTGGTGGCGGGCATATGAGTTGGATAGTTCCGCTGAGGCATCTTCACTCACTTGGACTCAATTTTCAGATATGTTCTTAAGAGAGTATGTTCCTCAGAGTCTTAGAAATGCATGGCGTGCAGAGTTTGAGCAGTTGCGCCAGGGTTCTATGACCGTGTCAGAGTATGCAGTCCGATTTAGTGAGTTGGCTAGGCATGCACCAACCTTAGTTGCTACTGTTCGAGAGCGGGTTCGCAGATTTATTGAGGGTCTCCACCCTAGTATCAGATTCAGTATGGACCGATAGATAGAGATGGACATCACATACCAGCAGGTGGTGTCAATTGCTAGGAGATTGGAAGGTATGCGGACTCGGGAGAGGGAAGAGAGGGAAGCTAAGAGACCCCGAGATTCTGACACATATAAAAATTCTCGTGCCCCAGTTGCAGCTCGTCATGGTAGAGGTTATGTGAGCCATCCTATTCATTCAGCACTTCCCACTTCCAGTGGTATTCCGGCTACTCCCAGACCTCAGGTTCCATATTATGCACCGCCAGTGTCTACGGTACCTCCTGTACGGGGTGCTTTCAGCGGGCAGTCTAGTCGATCAGGCCCGAGCCAGTCCTAGCAGCCATATTCTCCGAGGGCTTGTTTTGAGTATGGTGAAACTCGTCATATCATGAGAGATTGCCCCAGATTTAGGAGGGGTGCACCTCCACAGATTTCTCAGGCCCTACCTATTCCATAGGGCCCTCAGGCTTCTCGGGTCATGATTACTGCACCAGTCGCCACTCCACTTGCACAGCCAGCAAGAGGTGGAGGTCGGACAGGTAGAGGTCTCCCTAGAGGGGGAGGCCAGACCAGATATTATGCCTTTCCTGCTAGGATAGAGGCCGTTGCATCCGATTCTGTTATCACATGTATTATTTCGGTCTGTCATAGAGATGCATCAGTCTTATTTGATCCAGGCTCCACTTATTCTTAGGTGTCATCTTATTTTGCCCCGTATTTGGGCATATGACGTGAT